AAAACCCACAAAATTAAGTTTGAGTTCATTTTTTTTTTTTCAATTCATAATAATCAAAATTATGCAAGTAAGAATGTACAGAGAGAAAAAATATCGTTCTTTTATTAAAAAAAATCCTATTACCTGTTTCATTTAGAAAGATAATGAAAAAAATAAATTATGTTTAATTCAGAAGAATTCACAAAACGTTTTCTGTGAATGTCACTTCTGCCCTTTTTATTACTTTACTTTTAATTATGGCAGATGCTTGGCGATCATAATTAATTCAAATTAATTTCAGAGAATAAATAAAAGAAGTATCATAGTTGAATTGTTTATTTTGTTTAATATAAAAATGATACCTTTCATCCTTTAAAGTTATCAATAGTAATCTGATCATTTATTTAGCTTTCAGTAGTCATCTAATCACTTACAATGTATTTAGATATCAGTAAAAATTTAACCTTTATTATTTTTTTAGCTATCAAAACTTTCCTTTATCATTTAATATACCTTTCACTAGTCACCTTCACCATTAATTTATTTTTCGATTGTCATCTTTTTTCATTTTATTGTTTCCTTTGGTTGTATTAATTGTTAATTTCATGATTTCTTTTTTAAAAATCATGTAAAGTATTTCTAAGCACAATGAGTCGTCGATTAATTCAAAATATACCGGTATTTATTTACATAACGATATCGAAAATGAAGGAGATCGATTACATACTTTGTCAATTATATATGTCTTTATCATAAAAAAGACAAATACATACATAATTATATTTTCAATACTGAAGTTGGCCGATAACCGTCAAATCTTGAATTTTTAGAAAATTTGTGAATCTTAAAATCTTGTGCAATAATTTCAAGTAATTTTCAAATAATTTTAACACTCTTTGTTTCTCTGAATCTTTATTCTTCATTGCATGGTGAATGTATAATATATATGTAATCTACTGTATACTGTTTCGGCAAATATATAAATAGAAATTGTAATTAACAAGATTTCTCCAACTACAAATAAGATACTGTATCAAATGTTACACATGTAATACGATTTTAGTCTTGCTCCTTAGTTAATAATTTTAGCTTTAATATCAACAATTGTTGCGTACGTTCTGTTCTTTGATAAGTATAGAAATTGTTTGAATTGCATAGCTTTTAATTACATACTAGTATTGCAAGTCAATGTTTTCCGCTGGAATCAACTCTGAGCATATTCCTAGCAATAAAAAATCTGTCAAAAATATTTTCCAATACATCATACACATGTAATTAAAGATGCCAGATCTTATAATTTCATTTAGAACATAATTAGTTAAAAAGTACTAGTAATTAGAATCCTTTCAATTTAATGGAAGTAGTTATGACAAAGCTTATTATGATAAAAAACTTATCACTTTCAATTAAAAAATTCAAATACATTTGTAAATTATTTTTTCCTACGTTTTTGTGAAATTACTTTCTCCAAGCTTCGGCTGCTCTGACCCATTTATCTGCGTACATGCGTGTCAAGCTCTCAAGGTCATCTAAAGCTATATTTGTAAACAAAACACGCCCTATTTTCTCTGAACCGTTTACCACCTACCAACGATGTCCTCATAGAATCTATTTACATTGCTATTAATAGCAAACAAACATATTTTCCCCCTGTTTTATAATTTGAAAATGACATAAATGTCACGAAATAAACTCAAATTAATTTCGTTTCCTTTTTCTATTTTCATTTTCTCTTGTCAGAAGAAATCGTCAAAAAAAATAGAGTTCACTGACCTGTATGAAGGTTATTAAATATAAAACTGTGAACTTCAGTAAAGGGGAAAACCTTCAAACGTACAATGCTACTGTATATGCTAGAAGTGTGGTGTAAGTCAAAAATAGATCGTCATGTTAAGAAACTTAGAAACAACGATCTCAAAAAAAAAAAAAATTAATAATTTTTACTAAAAGTTAGTAACATCAAAACGTACGACTTTAAAAAAATATATAATTGAATAATCATTTCTCATGGTGAAAAGAAAGCTGTTAGAATTTATAACCTGCATATGGCCTTCTTGTCTCCCATTTGATTCGACACACAATACCATGCTATATATTTAAAATACATGGTTACTGCCTTGAAATATAAGCGATATTTGGGCGAGGGTAAGGAAACGTGATAGAGGGCGAGGCTTGCCGAGCACTCTTACGTTTTCGACCCGAGCCCAAATATCGTTTGTATTTCAAGACAGTTATCATGTATTTTGTTTATCCTGCAACATATTCTTTACATTTGAACGTCCAAAACATGCTATTTCCGACAGATTTCGGCACATCTCTGCAGTTGAAACTATGACGCCATGGCGTAAACATTGCAATATACATGATGCACGAGGCTTTATTAGGGCAGTGACCGGATAAAGCTTTGGTTTATTAGGTTACCTTTATTAGGTCAATGCAAGGGGTAGTTGCAGGATAAATACGAATAATTTCTAAACGATATAAGCTACTGACAAACAAATTGATAAAACACAGATATGAACAGTCACGTTTAAAACATCCTTTTGCAATTTTCTTGATCGATATAGTGACTTTGTCAGAAATTACAGTCTATTATTAAGTCCAATGCTAACTGATGTTTTTCATTCCAATAATTGTTAGGTCATTATTTACAACTTTAATTTATACGGATAATTATTGTTCATGTCTGATCATGACGACCAGCACAGGGCGGGTGTGACCTGTCGATGGGTAATGAATCCTCCTGCAATGCACCTAATATTGCCTTTTATGACAAAGTTAATTACGCCAAATGTGGAGGTCTAATAACTAGAAAAACATTCATGAAAACATGAATTCAAAGACCTAGCGTTAACGGAATCAAGGTTATGATAAAGGTAAAGGTTTCAAAAGTGTACCAAACTCCAAGGTCATGGACAAAATGTCAATGTTGTTGGTACGAGTGAAATATGATGAGATATCGAACAGTATTGAAGCCCAAAAGTCCATTAAACAACACAAGTAGGAGCAGTGCAAACACGGACCTCCAAAACATCAGAGGTTGGGTCAGGTGCCATGGATGATTGAGCATCCCCTGCCGACTGGTCACACCCGCCATATCCTCCCTGTCATGATTGGGAAATATCGGAAAAATTAGCCAACAATTCAGACGAGGGAAGATCTTGTCACTAGAAATATATCTGTGAAACGTGAAAGTCTTAAAACCAACCATTGTTGGAACCAAAGGAAACTCTTTCAAAAGAGGCATATTTGAAGGTTCGATTTTCACTTCAATAAGTTAAGTAAAGTTTGCAAAATTGGATCAAAACGTGAAAAACTCCAAGTCAAGATGTCAAGTATGATGATACCCCAAAATAGTCATTTGACAAGGAATAAACATGTTAAATATAACATTCACAGCTCCAACCAATCAAATGTTATGGGCATATTAAGTTAAAAAGATTGCTGACAAGCATTCAGGCAGGCGAATGGACAGAGCAAAAAAAATTGATTAAATGGGAGATAAAATAAAAATTTTCATGATTAAATGTTCATTTTATTATTTATAGTATGGTTAAAAACAATTGAACAGTCATATCATTTATGATATTAAAGTGAAAGGCCTTCGTGGTTTCGTTAGAAAATATTTTGACAATAATATCAATTTAGATAATAGATCGATGACCTAGATTGGATTTCCTTTAAATAATGTCAGTACAAATTTAGAACTCAAAGAGAAAATTGACCTAGATAAACCATAACCCTTTCTGCAATGCAATCCGTCTATATGCACCTAAGCGAAATTCGATCTCCCATAACACAGATTTCCCTGAACTGTGCATATAACTCCTGATTGAAGTAAACTGCGTTCAAAATGGATTGGCATATTGATATAAAATTGCAATCAAAGCCTGCGTTTAAATTAAGGACATTCACGTGTCAAAGCCGTACGTTTGACTTGGCACGTAGAAATTAATAACAGGCTCATAGGCTATAACGCTCATCAGATTTTCAATATGTATTCCTACGTAAGATTTGCCTCAGCAGTTTGTTCAAAATGCATGATCCAGACTTTAAGATAAAGGACACCAATCAACCAAACTTGTTTTATTAGGACTCAACGTTCTTAACCACATACGAGTTGTTATTTGAAGATGTTAATATTAAACATGAAGTACTAAGTATATCATACACAGTAGTCAGAAATTACCATTGTATTCTTATGGTAAACTGTTGTGGCCCTGCCATATATCCCGTGGCTATTTGAGGATGCTTCCGTACCATAACGAAAAATTATGTAGTATTTGTATAATTTGCATTAAAGTGCTAAAAATTGGCACTTTCCTATATAATCCTATAGTAAATGTACCTTTATTTTGAGATGGTCCCTTAGAAATACCTGGATACCTTTGAAACTCTTGAGAAAAATATGTGAGGGATTCTTTTTTGCTGAATATTTCTAATACGTAAAACTTTGCTCGCATCTTGTGGTCACATCCCTTTCTACGAAGCATGAATTGAGCAAATTTGTATACACATTATGACAGTTTTTATTTTTTCTGACTCAGTGGATCCAATAAAGAGATTTTTGAAAGATGCTAAAACAACGAATTCTCAATAATCTTCCCTTTATTGAAAACGACTGGTCCTTTTACTTGAGTAAACTTGAGTTTGTTTTGGTTTTTTTTTACCATGGATGCACTGAGGCAATTTGTGCTGAAATACATGTATGTTTATTTATTTTACAGAAAAAAGAAAAAAAATGAAAAGCTAACAGGCAGACAAACACAGACGAACAACTGACGATTTTCGAAAATCTTCTTTATTCTAAAATCCAGGTGAGCTAAAAATGAATATTTTATTGTTTAATAATCAACCGCGAAAATTTACCTAATCTTGTTGTAACTTTTTTCTATGTGAACATAAGTTTATATAACTTGTTAGTCGTCTCACCCTACGCGTTTTGCATTCAACATATCTAGAAATTTTGATCTACCATTGTATATATTTGTTCTACTATATAGATTAAAGCAAAGAACTTTCTGGTAACAAATGATATGTTTTTATTTATCAATAAATATACATCTTTAACACACGTAAAAGCAGATCAGTAATCATTTCAAGAACAGCATATATGATATCGTTATCAATTCAGTATTTTAAATACCTTATACAAGAAGACAAATGTGTAAACATATTAAATAAACTAATGTAACAGAAATTGGAACACTTGACCTGATCCCACCAGTTAAAGCTGGTAATGAGGTTAACACAATGTAGTTCTGACATGCGGAAATTTCCGCTCTACGTCTCTTGTTACGGGTTAAATTATGGACTAGTTTTTTTTTTAATAAAAAGAAAATAAAGACAACTTTCAGACGGAATAAACACGTGTCAGAATTACTTAGCTATTCGTCAGCATACCGTATCATCAACTTCAACTTTAGAGTTCATGATGTCATCCATGTAAACAGTGCTTATAGCACGAATGCTGCATATAATTTCCACAATTTTAGGAAATAAATTCGAGGTTTTGTCAGTATGGTTTAACAGGAACTGGCATTTGAGAGCCAGGTAAAGTTCTATCTCCATTTTCTCCAAGATCTCCGAACACTTCAAGTCTTCACGATCTGAAATTAACATTTATAATTAATATTTAATAAAAATTAATTAATAAGGGATGGGGTGGATAGCGTCGCAAGATAACAATTTATTGAATGTTATGTTCATTCGTGACCTGGCGTTAGGTGTATAAATTATATACAGACGTTTTGCAAGGAATTTATAGTAAAATAAGTCGTTCTTCGTTATAAGGACACGTGAACCAGTGTCCATAAAGGAGGATAAATACAATCGAGTCCTTACAAGCTGTCCCTTTTTCAGGTTATTGATTTATGCTAAAGATGAGCATGAAGATAAATCAAATACTTGTTGTAATCATATTACTTAAGCCATTGTGAAGAATGAATGAACAATGTTGTAATGCCTACTTCCAACTCGATAAATCAATGTCTTAAGGCCTTAAAATAGGCAAGAAATATAAGAAACAAAATAGAATCCTGTTATCTGTAACAATTAATACAAAAATACCTACCTGCACAGAACAGAAGCATGGCTGTCAGTATAGCAAGTTCCACCTCGGTCAGTCTTAAAGCATGTAACTTCTGTGCACACGAGACGACCTCAGAGATCAGTTTGGTCAGTGGACCATGACAGTCTGGGTCACCTTCTTCCCAACAACTGACCGGTCCTTCAATGTCTGATGGAGTAAGGCTAACACTATGAATGATTATGGATTCCAGAATGCAGTGTTTTATGAGAGTCTTTTGGTCACTTATGTCCATTTGAGTGAATTGAGGTATTTCACGTGCAAAAACTGAGACGAAACGCACCATGTCCGTCACATACTGAGAACAAAATTTTCTTGCTTCATTTTCAGACGTTATTTTGAGATGCTGCAATGAAAATTGATGAAATATAAAATGAAACATTGAGCATAAGCTATCAATTATTGTTAGTTTTAGGTCACTTCTTCACCCCAGAATATTGAATTGATAAAGACTTTCAAATTTATGAAAAGTTTGGCAATACTTAAAAAAGCTTAAGCCTTGCATGTGATACCAAAATAAACAAACCTGACAAATATAGGATTACATCATCAAAATACAATTGAAATCATTTCTTATGTTTTAAAAAGCACTCTTTTCACCTTAAACAATTCTTGTATACTTTAAAAAGTTAGGAATGATTGTGTACATATTAAATAACTCATTTTCTAATATCTATTATAATTTTATTTAAAAATAGGCTATTTTGAATTTATGTTAAACATTTGATTTCTTCCGTGCTTTGACGGAATAATATTCATATGCAATCAGAACTCATTGAAATAAATATCATTAATTAATCACCAGGTACCACTCTGACCTAAATACTTTGATTAACAAAGCATTGAAGGTCAAGAATGACAAGGGCTTTTTTTATTTGAGTAGATACACCTACTTTGAACGAGGTCGATCTTGTCGATGCTAAACAATCTTTAATAGCTGTTCGGAAGGCATCGTGTATCGTCAAAACCATCTGTTCCGATCGAATCTGTTTGTCAATATCAACTTTTCCATGCTTATTCTGAGGTAGTTTAAAAAAATCCATTTTCTTTGGCTTGTCTTTTTTAGGACACCTTCCTAATCTCACCGCTGTAAAATGAGTTTATTTTTGCATTTACATCGAAGGTTTTTTTATTATCTTTGGTTTAAAGTTGAAGGCAGGTTAGTTCAACAACAGCATATAAGAAAAAAAAAGGATAAAGATCGAAAGAAAGTGATTATACATCTTTATTAATTGTATGCGGATTACATATATGTAACAATTGAACAAAAAAAAACCTTATAATATCTTTAATAATTTTTTTTTTCAAATTCTAAATTCAGTGCAAACGTGGACCAAATATATATACACGACATGGGACATATATGTAAGTTAGCTATAGGTCCACACATGTAGACAAGAACAATTTGAAATTTGTCCATTTTTACTTAACTTTTACAAGAGCTTTGGAAATCAATACGGTTATTTGTTATATCATACTGTAACATCAGAGGGCATTGATTTCAGATTTGCTTATTATACTGTAGGATTAAACCAGAAGAGATAATTAGCCATGTAATATTCATTTAAGAACCGGAAAAGAGCCACAGTCTAACTTGCCTTGATCTTTTTGAATAAAGAAAAAGAACCTTGGGTAAGCAAAAGTCTCATTTAATCAAATTTTCAGTGACATTATAATTATTTGTGAACATTTATAATTTTCTTTTAATTAATAAATTTGAGAACTATTTTTTATTTTGTTGATTTTTTCTTGATTTTTGATCTGTATACTTCAGGATAACAGCAATACTCTGTCAACTTCAGATTCATTTCCTATACCAATCATCGGCTACATGTATGTTAAAGAAGTGTTTTTTAAAAAAAAAATGAGAAATATATTATATAAATATGAGAATTTATTTCACTGGGCGTGTTCATGCATATTTACCTTCATGAGACATGCCCGCAGATATACATCTTTGCATGCGACAGTACTGGCATCTGTTTCTACTGATCCGCATGATTAAACAGCCGTTTGGATTTTCACACGGCTTATACACGAGTTTTTGTCGAACTGTTCGTCTAAAAAATCCCTAAAAAAAAAGAAATACAAGAGAAATATTTAAATTTTGATGGCATAAAATTAATAGTTCTCATCCTTTTAAGATAGTTTATATAAAATAACATATATAATTCCATGCAAATATATTGATTTTTTGTGAAAGATTTAAATTAAAATTCAAACATTTATTACAAAAGAAAGGCAGACCATTAGAACTTTAAGATTTAGAATGAAATACAAAATGTGAAAACACCCTTCTCTTCTCCCAAATCTGCTTAATTTTATTTAATGAATTTAGAAAAAAATGCCATATTCATAATACTGTTTAAAAATAAAATAATGTAAAAAAAAAATAATAACACGTTTTAGAATTCGGCGCTTCAAGGATATGTCAAAATAATTATTTTAGGTAGTTTCTAGATTTTTTCTTCCTTTTTTTCCCAGTAGTATCATCACCATAGATTGAAATATATTTGAAAAAATATTAATGCAAAAAAAATCTAGTCTTTGTAAATTAATTAAAATTGCTGTCATACGAAAGTTAAAAAAAATCAAAAAACCTTATATCGAATTTTTTTTTTAATCAAGGGAGAATAAACACGTTTTTGTACTTCCTTTTTATTCAAACTCACCGTGGATTGTTATACAATTATACATGCTATATGTGTACAATCGTAAGCATTAATTTTGTATTCTGATGTGCTGTAAAGATACAAAGAAATAAAGAAATTAACAGTTTATAATAGTCTTGTTATACCTTACACCCTTCGCATGAAAACACTCCATAGTGAAAGCCTGAAGCCTTGTCTCCGCATATTTTGCACAAAATATGTCCATCTATAGATTCTGATTTCACTGAAGAAAAAAAGTAAAGATGAACATTTTAATTCAAATATGTGTGTTTGTTTTTAAATGGAATAATAGTTACATGTATGTATTTATTTCAACAAACATTTAATATCTATTTCTCTGATTAATAAAGTATTCCAAAAAGAAAGTGTTTTTCATTGTGATTGAGTTTCAAATGCAGATTTTGATAGATGAAATGTTGTGTTCAATTACCACATATTTTCAATTTTACAATGAATTTGCATGAAAGGTGTTTTTTTTTTTTTTTAGAAAAAAAAATTAACTGGTAAAAAATATTTCAAATGATGTTGATTAATGGATACTTGATACAATAACAGTTAAAATTTAACACATTAATATTCATTAATTTTTATATTTTAAAAATATTTTTATTGTTTCCTTTTTTGCAAGTATATTCTTCTTCTTTAAAAAAAAAAGAAGAATATTTTTTGTAATGATAGAAATATTACATATCTTTGCTTACATCATTTTAAGTGTATTTGTTCAATTTGGAATTTCCGTATTTACGTTTTCACAGATTTGTATCGTTTTTAATTTTTTGAGATCATTCATCATTCTTATCTTCAATTTTTTCGCTTAACTTACATGGTATCTTGTACCTTTAAATCTCCATATTTGAAAATTTGTATTTTATCCTTAATTGATAGTTAGAACTTTACCTAGGTTTCTATGACAAATTAGTCTTTAGTTCATTATGGTTCATTTTAAACTTTTTCTTTTTTTCAAAAAGAGGGAAAAAATAGTTAACTCACCAGATCGTCCTTTGCCTTTACCAGAGACAGATTGTTTACGAGACTGTGCGGGAGCTTCACTGACCGGAGACGTTATGCTTTCACGGTTAGTGTCATGTTGATTGGCCATTATTTGTTGAGGTGACATAGAATTTTTGTCCTTAACATGAGATTCAGAAAAATTTTCCTCCAACATTTCTACATCAATTTCATCAGCTTCAGATTTTGTAGAATTACTGCATGAGTCTGAAGACCCATCCACTGACGTCACATTTAATATTACGTCATTTTCTGCTCCTTCTCTTGCTTTCTGGAACTGGTCATAATTATAGCACACTGTTTGTAATTTCATCAATTTTTCTAATGGTACCATGACGCTATGTTTGATGGGATAAGAATTTTGATTATCGGCTTGACTTGATAAATCTGTCATTTTTGGTCCATCAATATAAAGTTCCGATGCATACGGTATATTTGTCATAGTTAATCCATGCACCATTGTGTATCAACTGAAAAATAATGTTTTATTTCTGAATAAAAATATTTACCAATCACTAATATATCAACTGATATTAATTAAAGAAAAGGAACAAGAAAAAACGACAGTTTAAATTAAAACTCGAATATTTATTCGATTCAAACTTCACGATTTAAAAAGAGAAAATAAATCTTTATTGATTTAACCCTGCAATATTCGTTCTCAATATAAGGCCGTAAGTGCAAAAACAATTATATACAATAATAAATTATTTTAAAATAAAAATTAAAAAATAATATTTATAAGTCCTCATGTCATTATTGAAATTAATAATTTGCTCTATTTACCTGGTCGACGAAATTGTATTACATCCGTAATTATTGAATTGTTTTATAAACATGCTCACTCGCGATCTTTCCTCTAACAAAATGGTGTTATTTATATCGGCACCTCAATTTAATAACCCAAATAAGTTTGACCTGCGCACCAATGAGCTAGACTTTTTTTCTGGAACTCGGCCAACATTTTTGCTCAGTACAGAAAAGTGATCCAGTGGTGTGTATATGTATATATTTGCATATTTCACTGAGTATAACGCTACACATAGGAACAAGTGAAAAATCTTGTTCTGCATGTCTATCAGTGTAAAGTTGTAAAATCAATACGATGCTGTTTAAATGTATGGTTTTCAATCTGAGATACCATATATTCAGCAGACTATATGTGAGCTCTTTGCATATATAAATATATATTTTCTTTTTTCAAATATATTAATCGTTTCTTATTTCATGACAATATGTTTCTAGAATAATTTAGTTTTAATGATAATAAATGCAGTCTTAAGTGCATCTGACGGAGATATATCACATTGGACTTACATAATTCCACTCCTGCATATACATGTCACAAGAATCATGATGCTTATTATAGATATCTAAAATTCCTTTTGAGGCTTTGACTCAAACAGGAATTTCTTGATATAAGACAATAAATTTACTTGTTTTTGAAAAAATATTGGAATGACAAGAGTCCGAATAGCGCAACCATATGACAAATGTCTATATTGTATGTTAATTTAAGAGAATTTTTCACTCAAAGAGAGACATACCACAATAATCTGGTATAAGGCATCAAATTTAGATTTTACACCGGCACTCAGGGTCATTGAGCAGTGATCGAGGGATCTTTATCATGCCAATGTCTCACCAAAAGACTCGCAACGTTTACTTTAAAGTGCCGAGCTCTTGGCAAAGGAACAGTTGCTGCCTTTTTTTTGTCGATTTAGGTCAGTCGTGACCGAGGTTCGAATCCAATACATTCCGATTACGGATCGAGCGTTCTACTGATACAGTTACCGTTAACGATTTATGATGACTAAAAAAGGAAGCACTCATTTGGTAGTTTTTTTTTAAAGAAAAATCAAGTTTCTTAAAAATTTCATATTTTTGTAATTTTTGATTATCATTTAAAGATTAATTCTATTTCAAATAACAGTATTGAGAAAAATCCTCTTTGAATGCGTTATCATATCAGTTTTCCCTTCTGTTTTACTACTGATCTCTATTTTGAACCGTCTGTACAATTATTCAGTATACTCGGTGAAAGTCGATAATATGCCTTCAAAATCCAGGTCACATTAAATCCAGTGCTTTAGTGTAAACGACCGCAACTGAATGTAGGGCTTGTTGTAAACGCTGGATTTTGAATGAAGCATGTCAATAACGCCTGCGTTTTCCCCAGAAGCGAAGACAAAGACAAAATTTGATCAACTTTGGATACGCATTTACTGATCTCAAAGTAATTCATTGCACTCGTGCACTTTTGTGCATGAGAGCATTTAATAATGTCAACAGAAAGACAAAGCGAAAACCACGCACAAGATTTTACCTTTAAAAGGTTACGAACATTGGTTCGACCTTCGTTTTTAGAGTTAGTCACGAATACATACTACTGGTGTTAAACACCTTCTTAACAAGTGAATTGCACTTCATGCTTAATACGTAATTAAGAAAAGGGTTTCTACGCATTTTTGTAAATCAAGATCATGCCCTAATATTCGCAACCATACATTCAACATTTTTTCATAAAAGCATAAATATACAGGCATGTCTGCAACCATTTCTTTTTTATGAGATTGATATAAAAAAAATGCACATATTTTTTGCGTGTGAAGACATAAGAGAATTTTGATGCATTGTTAAGAATTAAGAATGGCGCCGGTTTGGATTTATGCGCCCTCTGGGTTAACATGGCTATAATTTTGTAAAGAACATATTATGATATGCAGACATTCTACGACAATATTTATATGATTATTGGTAAGAACATACTTCCGGGTTCATGTGAGCTTATTACACCATACATTTTCTGTTGCTTGTTTGAGAAAAAATGGTTTACTGCGAGAGTATGAGTCAATAATTTATAAATAGTCTTTTTTTATATTTCAGAACAAGAAAACTACAAACGTATTTTGAAATTTAAAAAAAAGTCAACTAGCTTTTAGTCATCCACTCACGAAAAAACAAAGCACCAAGGTCGTGATCAAAAAAAAATTTATAAATCTCTTGGTTTTCGGTCACATCATTCAATATTGCAAAAAAAATAGTTCAACGCGTCAAGAACGGAGACAGATTGTCTGAATACTTTTTGTTAAACAGAAATATTAAATTTTCACCTTAAATGTTGCAAAGCTCTTTTTTCCGCGAAATCACACACCGAGCCAAGGCGTCGAAAGGCAACCTTCCGTTAATATCATCCCTCGAAAGTGATGACTCTACGCTTATGCACGAGTTTAATTCATTAGAGGGTCATTACAACCTATTCTTGTATAAGAGTGGTTAGGAAATAATACAATATTTCACAATTTTTTTGCAAAAGCCACCGTGCCCCAATTTTTAAAAGTACTTGTCATCGATCTTGAAAATATTTTTATACCCTTTCAAAACTGTCAAATATGGCATGTGATTAAGTAAATTTTTATGTGATCAAAACTTAATGTTTGACGAATATAGAATGAGAGAAAATTGTATTTACTTGTGAAATTCATGTTACTATATTACTATGATACTATACTAAATATAAATACTACTATAATATTAAAACTTAACGTGTCATGTGATAAAAAACATACTAATTGACAAGTTTATAATAAGAAAAAAAATCAATGCCTTGTTGTGGAATTTATGTAACTATATTTTTTTAAATAGAGTCATAACTACTTGGAAATCAAAAAACTAATTCATACAACGTTAGGACAAGTTTAAAGCATCCGAGTGACATATCTTATATGCTGCTGATCGTCTGTCCCATATGCATTGTATTGGGAATGTCATTTCATTTTCTTTTGATATGGAATAAAACATGTACTTAGGAAAGTATATCGTTATTAAAGAATCGATAAATATGATGCCTCAGTCTTCTTTGTGAACAGGGATTCGATTTTTCTTATAGCGAATTCCTACCTAAAGACACGAGATGAAAGACTTGATTCAAAGTGCAAATTAAGAAAGTGGTATATTTGAATTGTGTCATCATTATTATTTTTTTTATATAGATTTGATAGAACTCTGCATATTTCAAGAGAAACTGCAATTTATCTCATTGATAGCGAAATATTACATGCATATGTGTGACTTTTTTTGTATGAACAAATTGGTATACTTCTTTTACAAACTACATATTTTTTCTTTATGCATATTGCATTGTTGTACAAGATCTTTTAAACTAAAAGGAGTATGGAAATAAGGAAAAGTATTCAAGCAAAATTCAGGTATTCAAAGTCCATTTATACAATAAAAATTGGGAGCAAAACAAACACGGACACCCCAAAAATTAGAGACAGGTTCAGATTCCATGGAGGGTTAAACATCTCTTGTCTACCTCTCACAACCGCTGTGTGCCCCTCGTCATGACTGAGAGAAGGAAAGTAATCCGTACAAATTCCAGTGTGTAAATAATAGCCTAATAATTAGTGTGAACACTTGACCTAATGATAAATTGAGTCAGGCCAATGTGTCAATTATAGAACATGGAGATGGTGAAGAAGATGATGATACATGGATGTCAACAGTCTCGTTCAGGAGACTGTTGATATTCGTTTTTTTTCTTCTTGGTGAATAGTTTGCATCGTTTTAAAACTTGATCGAACGCAGATTATTCGCTTGCTTATCGAATCAACTGAGAGATATAAACACCATTCACGGGTGATAAGAATATATTGCAATATAAGAAGGAGAAATTGGCTATAGAAAAGTTGAAGTCACCACATTTATCATAAAGTTTTGTTTTCATATTTTTTTTTCCAATTTGGATGTATTTCTTTTTTATTTTTATATGCATTTATTTTGCTTTTCCGACACCATAACCTGTTTTGTACATGGACAACCATCAATGAAAATGGAACATGGCAGTTGCATATCGTGAGTAAAGGAGGCAAGCAATAATAATAACACAGTGGTCATATGTATATGGTACTGAAGAACAACAATGCTTTTAGAATAATTACCACGGAAACAAAACGTTCTATTTCAAGATCATTGTATCTGTTTTACCATAAAAAAAACGTTATGTTTCAAATAACCATTTTTAAAAAATGGTGAAAAAAACAAAGCTTTTTATTTTTTTTATATAAACCTGTTTGAATGCACTGGGAGTTTTGTGTCGGAATAACCATTTTTTTTAAAAACAAGGTAAATTCTAAAATGGGAAAGAAATTTAACGTCGGAATTCACAGTGTGTTGGATTATTCAGGTGTCGGATTAGACAGTTTTCACTGTATTTTTTATAAATTTGTTTATTTATTTTCAATCTTTGTTTTTTATTTATTCATTTATTTGGAATTATTTTTTTATTGTTATTATCAACTTCTTTAAGAATAAATATTTATATATTTTAAAAGGTGGATGGAATTTTACAATTTTACATTTTTCCTCTATTTATTTTCAATGTATACAAGAGGTAATGACACATCAAAAATTGGCAATCATATATAAATACTTAAAATAGCTAAACTAAATCAAAGAAATTAGAAGTTATACATGTAGCATTAAGAATAAATACGTCATAAGCAAAACAATGATTTGCATTTTATTTTAAACTTTCAATTAAAGACTTTGCTGTCAATAAGATATCTTGTACATTGACCCCAAAACAGAATCGAGTGATAACATTGTGGAGACATAGATTTAAAGATTAAGCTTTTAAAAACCAAAAATAGGTTCACGTAGAAAGTAATCATTATATACGATATCGAAACTTTGATAAGGTATAAAGATATTAGCAAACAAAGGTCAATAATGTTATGCACTGTATAATTCTACATTGGAAAGATGGTTGTCCTAAAAATAGTTCAATCTTTAGCTTCAACATGTTCAATGAGGGATGAATTTAAGAACTTATTACTATAGATATTGAATCCATATTAAGTTCTATCTTGGGAAATTGCCATGGTATCAGACGCCCCTTTCAGTCATCGACTTTTTACTTCTAAATAAAAAAAATCTTACAACATGATCACTAAATAATAAGCATACTATCCTGGCGTATCTCTCCGATTAGTTTTGAAATTGTATTAATTT